TTCTTCTCCGAACTGGCACACTCCGCGCATATCCTAAAAGGCAGTATTCATTTTAGATATGCAATTTCTAAGTATTTTGACGGAAGTGATTTGAAAAGCATGCAAAGAGATTTGTTAAAAGAACAGCTGGAAGGCCGAAGGTGTGCTGGACGGACTCACTAAACCAGAGTATCCAGGATGCTGTGGATGAGAAAAATGAGGTCTTAATCGTCGAAAAAGTTACCATGCCCATGCGAATAGAAATCTAGGCTGTGCATCAAGAGCTGTTTCAGGTATTCTATCAAAAATGGACGATGATACGGGTCACTATTAACAGGGCTAGCAAATAGCGATGTAGTAAAGGCTGTGTCTCGTTTCCAACAGCCTGCAGTCCAAGAAGAAGAAAACTACACATCGGGAAAAAAAACATCATGAAAATATACTGCTGAGCTCATTCAGTGAGGAGAAAAACCCATCCGTCCTGAGAAACCCGTCCTGAGAAGAAAAACCCATAGCCCTGAGCATTTCGAATCGATTTACTGCGAGAAGAAATTATAGAAAAATAAGCTAAAAATGCAAAAAAGGGGTAAAAAAATTAAAAGTGAAAAATCGGATTTTTTTTTTTGACAGAAGGCATTTGTTGCCAATTACACTGAAAAACACACTGACTTGATAAAAACAACATACGTGTCTCCGGCACGTCGTCTTGCCAGCTCCTCTTCTAAACTTCGAATATACGCTAACTTCGGATCAACATTTACGATTGGTTTGTTCTCCACTTGCTTCACTCGGCTTGCAAATCTCAGCGCTTGTGCTGTTTCCGAAGCGTTTGTATCGGCCGGCGAAACGCATACAATCATAACGGCGTAGCTGTTACCGCCAAGAGAATCTGTAAGTAAATGTTAGTTTGGGATGAATGAAACATAAAATCCCTCATCAGTAGAACTTCCATAGGCTTTGTCCAACTGCCGTTTCTCTCTGTCAGATTTAATTGCCAGAATATGATCATCAAAAAAATCATAGCTAATTGATAACAAAATACTAACTTTTTGAGAAAGACTTTTAAAGCAAACCCCTAAGCGAATTCCCCTTCCCTCCCCTTCCCCCCCCCCCCCCCCCCCCCCCCCCCCC